CGCCCCTACCCTGCCAGAAGCGCTCACTCGGAGCCATTTGTCCTCCAACAACACCTGTCACCTGTGGCTCAGAGGGAGCCCTAAGTCACCTGGTCTAATCCAACTCCTCCTCCTGGAGGCGGAAGAACCCTAAGAGGGGAGGGGATTGGTCCAAGGTCAACAGGGCTTTTTTTCTGTGATTCCAGGAGTTCCTTCATGACCCCCCCTTTCTCTACACAAAACTAGCACCTCCGGGATTCAGTGGCCTTGCTCCTCTGTCCTCTGTGCTCCAGGGTCTGTGTCCAGGCCCATGCACCCACGAGGTCTCTGTTCTGGGTGGCCTCCCTGTGTCCTCCATGTTCCCCGTGTACACCCAGGCCCAGTGTACACAGCGTCGTCCTGCTCCTGTGTCCTGTGTCCAGGCCTCCCGTGTCCACCTGCCCTGCTACCCTGTCGATCCCACAGGCTGTGGTGGGGGGGAAGTGGCCTTACCTTACCCCGCTGGCCCTGACCCTTTCCCGCGGCTCATTCCCAACAGGCCCTGGGCAGCGACGGGGTGCGGGTGACCATGGAGAGCGCCCTGACCGCCCGTGACCGGGTGGGGGTGCAGGACTTCGTGCTGCTGGAGAACTTCACCAGTGAGGCCGCCTTCATCGAGAACCTGCGGCGACGGTTCCGGGAGAACCTCATTTACGTGAGGCCCGAGTGGGAAGACAGTGGGGCTGCTGGGGGGTTCAGAGGCAGGACTGTGGGGGAAAGAGGCACCAGGGGCCTCTGGGAGAGAATTCTGACCCTCCTCCTCCAACCCCCAGACCTACATTGGCCCGGTCCTGGTCTCTGTCAACCCCTACCGGGACCTCCAGATCTACACCCGTCAGCACATGGAGCGTTACCGTGGAGTCAGCTTCTACGAGGTGCCACCCCACCTGTGAGTGACACCCCCATCCCCATCTGAGATGACCCCACCCGGCCCTCACTCTAACATGAGCCCAGACTCCCCACTGTGGATGAAGCACTGTTCACATCTGTGAGGGATCCCACAGTTCCTCACCCTGGACCGACTCCATTCCCACTGAGATGAATCAGCTCCATCTGGTCGGGACCTCCCCGGCCCCCACCCAACTCATTCTCACTCCTGACTTATTTGCCCAACTGTACCTGGCATGGCCCCCAACTTTAGTGACCTCTGGGGGCCTCCAGCCCTACCTGTGAGGGACCCCAGCCTCTACCTGAATGACCGGTAACACTCAAGAGTGATCTTCTCCATCTTCCCTCTGAAAGTGACCCCCTCCAGTGCTCGCTTCGGCAGCACATATACTAAAATTGAAAGTGACCCCCTCCACAGCTGTGAAGAATCTCCCTCCACCCACACCCTTGAAGGTTCCCCAACCCCCATCCTCAAGGGTAAATGCAGCTCCCACCCACGAGAGAACGCCAGGCAGATGTGGGAGTGCCCTCCCCAGCCCCACCTGCCGGACTCCCACCAGCTGCAGCTGCTCGAACTCCTACCCCCTGAGCTCCTGACCGGCCTCTGCCCCAGGTTCGCGGTGGCCGACACTGTGTACCGGGCACTGCGCACGGAGCGCCGGGACCAGGCAGTGATGATCTCTGGGGAGAGCGGGGCAGGCAAGACGGAGGCCACCAAGCGGCTGCTGCAGTTCTATGCTGAGACCTGCCCAGCCCCTGAGCGGGGTGGTGCTGTGCGTGACCGGCTGCTACAGAGCAACCCTGTGCTGGAGGTGAGGGTCGGGCAGCATCTGAGAGGAGGGAGAGGCAGGGAGAGAAGGCCGGCATCCCTCATACCCCCATCTGCTCCTAGGCCTTCGGAAATGCCAAGACCCTCCGGAACGATAACTCCAGCAGGTTTGGGAAGTACATGGACGTGCAGTTTGATTTCAAGGTACCTGTGTGTGCCGGGGCAGGGGGTGGGTTTCCCATTCAGTAGGCGCCAGTAAATATTTATTGAGCTCCTGCTGTGTGCCAGGCACTGTTCCAGATGCTGGAACTGCAGCATTGAAACAGAACAGACAAAAATCCTGCCTTTAGGGGAGACAGACAGTAAGCAGGAAAATGTGATGTAGGTGACAAGTGCCATGGCAAAGAATAAAACAAGGTCAGGGGTGGGGCAGTTGCTCTTTAATTATGTTTTGAACTCCAAGAGGAAGGGGGCCATCAGGAGATTTGGAACAGAAGTGTGTCGGGATCTGACTTTCCTCTTAAAAAGATCGTTCTGGCTGCTTTGTTGAGACTAGATGGTCAGAGAAGCAGGCCAAGCAGGGAAACCAGTCAGGAAGCTGATAGAATAATCTAGATGACAGGTGACTGTGGCTGGAACCAGCTCGGGGGCAGTGGAGGTGGGGAGCAGCGGTTGGACTCTGGGGTTTTGAAGGTTAAGGCAGCAGGATTGATGGGATGAGAGGAGGCCTGCAGACTCCTTACCCTGAGCACCTAGAAGGGTGAAGTAACCATTGACCAAGATGGGAGACAGTCGGGGGAGCTAGCCTGAGGAGCAGGAGAGAAGGAGTTCAGTTCAGGGCTGTTGAGTTTGAGATGCCTGTTGTCCGTCCGTCCGAATGGAGCTGACATGTAGATGGGGTTGAGTGTCCTCGTTTCTTAGATGAAGAAGCTGAGGCAGCGGGTGACTTGCTGGAGCCCAGGCACTTAGGGGCAGAACTGGAATTAGAACCCAAGACGGCGGGGGAGAGAAGGGAAGGTGGGCCCCACTTCCCATCCCCCTGAGTAGTCCCCGTGTCTGTCCTGCCCGCAGGGTGCCCCTGTGGGCGGCCACATTCTCAGTTACCTCCTGGAGAAGTCCCGCGTGGTCCACCAGAATCACGGGGAGAGGAACTTCCACATTTTCTATCAGCTGCTGGAGGGGGGCGAAGAGGAGACACTGCGCAGGCTGGGCTTGGAGCGCAACCCCCAGAGCTACCTGTACCTGGTGAAGGTGAGCAGCTGGTGGGCAGGGCAGGTGCCACCCGGGGAGCAGCACAGCGCCAGGGCGCCAGGGCTGACAACCCAGCTTTGCCCCTCCCCCAGGGCCAGTGTGCCAAAGTCTCCTCCATCAACGACAAGAACGACTGGAAGGTCGTCAGGAAGGCTCTCACGGTCATCAACTTCACTGAGGATGAAGTGGAGGTGAGGCCTCTGCTGGGGACCCGCTTTCCTCCTGTCACACCCTGAAAATCTCAACCCACTTTTATCGCCTATATCTACTTAGATCCCCCTTCTCCTCCCAAACACGTCACCTCCCAGTCCCTGCTCCATCCGACCACCCCTGGTTGCCCTCATGGAACTCTCAGCCCCTCCTGTGACTCCCCTCTGCCCCTGCCTGTCCCCCAGGACCTGCTGAGCATCGTGGCCAGTGTCCTGCATTTGGGCAACCTCCACTTTGCTGCCGATGAGGAGAGCAACGCCCAGGTCACCAGTGAGAATCAGTTCAAGTATCTCACCAGGGTAAGCGGGGTGAGCAGAGGGCAAGGGCAGAGCAGCTGGGTGAGGGGAAGGGCACCCTCACCATGCCCCCGCCCCCTTGACAGCTTCTTGGTGTGGACGGCTCAACATTTCGGGAAGCCCTGACCCACAGGAAGATCATCGCCAAGGGAGAAGAGGTGAGGCCAAGCCTTTGCCTCAGGAGATGGGTGAGGGGTGCAGGTATAAGGTAGCCCCCACCATCGTTGCCCCTTCCCCTGGTCCGCTAGCTGGTCCTCTCAGCAATGCTGGAAGGACATAAGGCAGCTGGCTCAGAGAGGCACAGGGGCGGGCCAAGGTCACACAGGAAGTGGGTGAGAGAGTCAGGCTAGAGCCAAGACTCTGACCTCTAGGAATGGGGCCTCTTGTCCGTATACCTCCTTCCCTCTGGTGGGGTCACTGTGTCCTCTCCTGTGCCCGCCCCCACACCCTCCCCCAGCAGGAGGGCGAGTAGACATAGTTTCCTGGTGTTCGACCTGAACCCAGAAGGGAGTGGGTGGAGAGGGGTCTTCAGCACTCATCTCCCTGTCTCACGCCACACCTGCAGCTCCTGAGCCCGCTGAACCTGGAGCAGGCTGCGTATGCTCGAGACGCGCTTGCCAAGGCCGTGTATAGTCGAACCTTTACTTGGCTAGTCGGGAAGATCAACAGATCATTAGCCTCCAAGGTGAGGGCGTGGTCCTGGCCGCTCCCAAGGGAGCAGGGTGGCCTGGGCCTGGGCACTGGGGGCTGGCAGGAGTGGGGACCCATGCTCTTGGTTGAATGACCCTAGGATGCCCAGAGCCCCAGCTGGCGGAGCACCACGGTCCTTGGGCTCCTGGACATTTATGGCTTCGAAGTGTTTCAGCACAACAGGTCGGTGCCCTCTTCCTCCTGCCTGTCTCTCCTCTCGTCTCTCTGTCCCGGTCCTTCTTCTCTGTCCCCGCCTCTCTCATTCCTGTCAGTGATTTCTCAACCATCCTGGGTCCTGATGAGTGTTTCTTCCCATAGCTGCTTAGGGCCTGGCCCATCCTCCCCTTACCCCGGCCCTGTGGCCACCTTGAGCTCCTGTGGTCTCTCCTGCTTTCCTCACAGCTTCGAGCAGTTCTGCATCAACTACTGCAACGAGAAGCTGCAGCAGCTGTTCATCGAACTCACCCTCAAGTCAGAGCAGGAGGAGTACGAGGCAGAGGGCATCGCGGTAAGCGCGGGCCTGCAGGTGTCATAGGAAGCCCAGGTGTCAGTCCCCGAGGGAGGCACCAGGACCCCATGATGATGCCCTCCTTCCCTGTACCCCTCAGTGGGAGCCTGTCCAGTATTTCAACAACAAGATCATCTGTGATCTGGTAGAGGAGAAATTCAAGGGCATCATTTCCATTTTGGTGAGTCGTCTGTTCCTCCTAAGCCTCGTGTGGGGCTGGGTGGGAGGACGTCACTCCTTCCCCTTTCTCTCCAGGCCAGTCCACGGAGGGCCAGAGTTTGGGGCTGAGCAGGGACAGGGCAGGGCTCTGCATGGAGGGTGAGGTGAGGTGCTGGCTGCACCTGGAAGCTGTCCCTAGGAAGTCCCCTTGAACTGCCCCTTTCCCTGTGTCTCTGCCTCCTGCATGGTGCCCCTGAATTACCTGTGCTCTCCAGCCCCTCCCTTGACACATCCATCACTCTGTGCCACACCCCTCAGGACGAGGAGTGTCTGCGCCCTGGGGAGGCCACAGATCTGACCTTCCTGGAGAAGTTGGAGGACACCATCAAGCACCATCCACACTTCCTGACGTGAGTGGGGTTGCAGGGCTCACTTGGGTAGAACCTGTGGAAGCCTGGGATCCCCCCCCATCAATTAAAACATCAGCCACAAAGAGATGACCAGAGGGCCAAAACCAGTTTGGCTCAGTGGATAGAGCGTCGGCTTGCGGACTGAAAGGTCCCAGGTTCGATTCCGGTCAGGGGCATGTACCTGGGTTGCGGGCACATCCCCAGTAGGAGATGTGCAGAAGGCAGCTGATCGATGTTTCTCTCTCATCGATGTTTCTAACTCTCTCTATCTCTCTCCCTTCCTCTCTGTGAAAAATCAATAAAATATATTAAAAAAAAAAAAGAGATGACCAGAGGAGGTGCTGAAGGACAGGCACACAGAACCGCAGCTCACCGTACAGCCACAGAGGAAGAAGCCAGGAGCATGGCTTCCTCCTTATTCTTTTCTGAGAATGAAACTTGCGAAGGCCCAGCCAGCGTGACTCAGTGCTTGAGCATTGACCTATGAACCAGGAGGTCACAGTTTGATTCCCTGTCAGGGCACATGCCCAGGTTGTGGGCTCGATCCCCAGTGTGGGATGTGTAGGAGACAGCCGATCAATGATTCTCATCATTAATGTTTCTATCTCTTTCTCCCTCTCCCTTCCTCTCTGATCAGTAAAAACATATTTTTTAAAAAAGGAAAGGAACTTGCTAAAATTCTTTAGCTTCCTTTATTTGCAAATTGCTTCTTATTTAACTCATCCCTTAAAGTGGGCGAGGGAGAGGAAGCAAGCCCCTCTGTCCCGGCTCTGTCCTGCATCGTCTGTACGTCATCTCTAACCTGAGGCAGCCCGAGGAGGTGTTCCTGTGCTGTCTCCAGTTTACTGAGGTTCAGAGAGAAGTCCTTTGCCCAAGGTTATCTCCCATCTAGTAAGTCACCGAGCTGGGACTCAGTCCCAGGGCTGCAAATGCCAAAGCCCTTCGTTAAAACCCTTTTCCTGGTTGTAAAAATAACGTTGCTCATTAGAGAAACGCTGGAATGTGTGCAAAAGCCACTTGGAGTCCTGTCACCCAGAGGCCATCACTGTTAACAATTCGAGGCATTTCCTTCCTGCCTTTTTCTATACCTTTTTTTTTCCGTGGTTGAGAACTTACTGTGTAGAGCAGGTCCTCAGATAATGCTGTTTCATTCAGTGTTGTTTTGTTATACCATTGATGAGCTGTTGTGGGAACTTCATTCTTGTTTATGTCAATTAGCCTCTGGTAAAATTGCTTTTGTTATATGTCGTTGCACTTAAAGTCACAGAACCCATTGACGACAGTAAGTGAGGACTTCCTGTAGAAGGCTCAGGGTAGTGTTATATCTTTCAGTATTTTCCTGTATCAAACAGAGAAGAGTTCCTCAAAATGCTTGCTCTAATGGCTCTAATCCACAGACACCCCATGGCTCTTACCCAGCCTCTGGGGGCCCTGGCCAGCCTCCAGTTTCTGCTGGATAACAAGGCTGCCACAAACATCTTTATGCCTTAAGCCTCTGCCTGTGTCGCTGGTTAGTTGCTTGAAATAGTTCTTAAAAGTAGAAAATGGGCCCAGGCTGGTGTTGCTCAGTGGTTGGAGTGTCATCCTGTGCACTGAAAGTTTGTGGGTTCGATTCCCAGTTAAAGGCACATACCTAGGTTGGTGGTTCGATCCCAGTTGGGGCATGTATGTGAGGCAACCAATAGATGTTTCTTTCTCTCCTCCCTCCCTCCTTCCCTCTCTCACTCTCCCTTCTTCTCTTCCTCCCACTCCTTCTCCCTTCCCCTCTCTCTAAATAATCAATAAAGACAAAACGTAGCTTTGGTCTGTGCACCAAAAGGTTGCCAGTTCAATTCCCAGTCGTAGCACATATCTGGGTTGCAGGTTCATTACCCCATTGGGAGATGTTTCTCTCTCACATCGATGGTTCTCTCTCTCTCTCTCTCTCTCTGTGTGTGTCTCTTCCTCTCTTCCTCTCTCTAAGCTCTAAGCATGCCCTTGGGTGAGGCTTAAAAAATAATAATCTATAATAATAAAAGGGTAATATGCTAATTAGACTGGATGTCATTCCGGACGTCCTTCCTAACAAAGCTGGGAGGGAAGCAGCCCGGGTCCCGGGTGCCGGAGGGAAGCCGGTACTGGCAGCCGGGGGAAGGAAGGCCTGCTCTTGCAGGAATTTTCGTGCATCGGGCCTCTAGTAATAACATAAAATAGAATTAAAAAAATACATATCCTCTAGTGATTGTTTTTTAAATATAGAAAGTGGGCTAAAGGGTATACACATGCTTAAGACTTAAGTAATCTCTTGGGGCAGATTCTATTCTTAAAATGTAGGCCCATGCTCAACCCTCTGAGCAGTCATGCAACAGCCAGAGGCACTGAAAGGAGCCCTCTGCCCAGTGTGCCCTGCAGAGCGGGGGCCCAGATCCCGGGCCTGGCACAGTGTGACCTGGGCAAGGCCGTCTACCTCCCTCAAGAGTCCGTGGCCACCTCTATGCAGGGAGGCAGGGTGGGCTGTGGGTGGCCTGGGCACGCCTGCTTCCTCCTGGAGGTCTGTTTCCTCTCTAAGACCCTTCAGCAGGCAGGGAGCATGGCTCAGGCCAGCACGCTAGCTCCTCTCCCTGTCACCCCCAGGCACAAGCTGGCTGACCAGCGGACCAGGAAATCTCTGGGCCGCGGGGAGTTCCGCCTCCTGCACTACGCTGGGGAAGTAACCTACAGCGTGACCGGTGAGGATGCTGGGCCGGGTCCCCACAGTGGCAGGGAGGGGGCTCTTCCTCAGCTCACATGTGCTCTCTCCTGCCAGGGTTTCTGGATAAAAACAACGACCTGCTCTTCCGGAACCTGAAGGAGGTGAGGGGGACTGCGGGGAGGACTCCGGGTTTGACCCCGAATGACCAGTGCCCCAGGAATCTGTCCTACTACAACCTTGAACCCGTGCTCTGCCCTCACAGACCATGTGCAGCTCGGAGAATCCCATTATGAGCCAGTGCTTCGACCGGAGCGAGCTCAGTGACAAGAAGCGCCCAGAGACGGTGTGGAGGCTGTGGGGCCCGCGGGGGCGTGTGTGTGCACGGCGATGAATGCCTGCAAGAGCCTGGAATTGGCTGTGTGCATGCGAGCGTCTGTGCTTGTTGGTTCCTGTGGTTGTGTATCTGTGCCTACGTCTGTGTGTGCTCTATGTCTGTGTCATGTACACAGCCACTGCTCTGTGTCCGCCCTGTTCTCTCTCCTCTGAGCCAGCCAGCCTCCTCCCTGGTCTCCTGGCTGCTCCCCTGCCCTTACAAGCATTCCCCACGTATCTGCTGTGGGGATATTCCAAATGGCAGATCAGTTCCTATCATTCCCCCACTCCAGATTCCTCTATGGCTCCCTTGTTCCCTCAAGTTTAAATTCACTCTCCCTAATGTGACTCTGAGTTCTGCTCCGATACTGCCTCTGCCCGCCTCTAACCCCCTTCTCTGCTTGTCTTGTTTGTAGCTCACTGTGTACATCAAGCCTTTGCTCAGACTGCCCCTCTGCCTGGAATGCCTTTCTCTCCTCTCTTCCTTCTGGCTGTCTCCCTTTTTTTTATTTTTTATTTTTAGCGAGAGAGAAAAACATTGATACGTTGTTCCACTTATTTATGCATTTGTTGGTTGGTTCTTGTATGTGCTCTGACCTGGGATCGAACCCCCAGCCTTGGTGTATCAGGATGAAGCTTTAACCACTGAACATACCCTTTTTTTTTCTTTATTGATTAAGGTATTACATATGTGTCCTTATCCCCCCTTACCCCCACCTTTTTTTTTTTTTTTTAAATTTCAGAGAGGAAGGGAGAGGAAGAAAGAGATAGAAACATCAATGACAAAAGAGAATTATTGATCGGCTGCCTCCTACACACACCCCACTTGGGATTGAACCTGCAACTGGGCATGTGCCCTGACTAGGAGTTGAACCGTGACCTGGTTCATAGATCGATGCTCAACCATTGAGCCACACCTGCTGGGCTCCTACACATCCTTTAAACCAGTGGTTCTCAACCTTGGCTGCACATTAGAATCACCTGGGAATCTTTTTAAAATCCTGATTTCTGGGCCTCATCCTCCGGAAATTCTGTTTCTTTGTTATGGGGTTTGGATGAATTATTTAATAAATAAGAAACAATTTCCGGAGGATAGGGCGCATAATTCTGATTTTCAATCCCCCCGCCTCGACCCCAAAGAGCTCGTTTTAAGTGTGGTGTCAAATCAGAGGTGTGACTGTGGTTGCGATTCTTATTTGGGGGAATGCTCATATTGATTGATCGTCATCAGGTCATGAGAACAGAAAGAAAACAACCCTCGTTCATTAATTGAATGTGATTTTCTACAGGCCCTCTTAGAAAAAGTTACGATAGCATATCAGTACTCCTCTATCGACAGTACATACAAAATCCCTC